ATATATATATATATATATATATATATATATATATATATATTCGTTATGGGGAGAATAGATCTTGCGCATGCGCGGATCTCCTCTCCATCAGGTTGTAACTTGTGAGAGTTCACTCTACTGCGAGACGCGAGACGAGAGACGTGTTGTAGCCAATATACCAGTGTTCTAACAATAAAACCCGTGTACTATTGATTGTGTCCACACCCGCAATCTAACATTTAAAAATCTAAATTTAGAATTTTCGAGTGTCCCTGAGTGACGGGGCATGCAGTTGAAATTTCGAGATTATAATTGAACAAAAAAATCAATTGAGATAACGTACGGTAGATAATGGGCCTTAAATGCATTTATTTTTATAAATTCCCATTGACACTCCTTTTCGTTCATCTTTTTTAACATAAACAAAATTACTCTTGAAAATAACGGGAAATTAATGATTAATAATGATGAAATGAAACTAACATTATATGCAATTTTCAATACAGGTGGAAGCATATCAATGACCGATGCCAGTGGAAAACCTTACGGACCAGGAGCTGGAAACGGCTCGATTGCCTCCGTGACAACCTCCACAAGCGTAGGAAGTACAACATCACCCCTGAGAAGTTCACTAAAGAAGCCAAAACCCCTTGGAATCCAAAATCCTGGATTTTCAGCGCATAGTCCTACACTAACGAGGAATGGGTCTCAGAAGAAAGTCCGCATTCAAACCCACTCGACAGAAGTTTAAAATATGCTATAAAGTCGAAATTGATTCCATAGCGCAAATAAAACTAATCAAAAACGCGTTGTGATAGTGGAGGTATCTGAATACGTAGTATAGCTTTTTTCTATGATGGAAATTGTTTCGATAAATACTCGTGTTTCATGCTCCAACCTGAATACGTGTGAAGATAAGGACATTTGTAATTTTTTAAGATTACAAATTTTATCGCATCCGTCCATAACCCTAAGTAGGCAGCTATATAATATGATAATTTTGTCGTGAAACGACTCGATAGAGAAGAGTTATATAAATATATAAATATATATATATATATCTTTTTTTTTTGTTGGAAACCTTCTAATATATACACATATCGAATTGTTTGCGTATTCATCACATTTAATGGGACTCAGAGGGACTGTTATAAAAAAAACATATGTACAAGAAACTAAAATTTCTTCATCGTGTTGATATGTAGAAAAACAAGTTGCGATTATAACTGAGATAATAATTCGAACAAAAGAACTATTGATTTTGATATTAAGTATTGTTTTTGTTATCAACTGTAGTGAGAATTTAGTCTTTCATCTGAGAATATTCCGACATTTTTTTTCTCAATCCCAGTAGCTTGCTTCCTGTTACACAATTTTTTGGGTGTACTATGTACCTCCTATTGAGCAGGTCTCGTTCATTTTAATCTCGGATTTCCACATTCACGATGACGAACATCAATGATTTTAAACACATTCATTTTTAGTATTCTCCCATGCTTATAGCTAAAAAGGAACAGAAAAATATATAGAATTTGTAGAAAAATTGATCATTTATTCATTTGAATTTACACGTTAAAAACTTTACAAATTGATAATGTACCTCTGTGACATGACGATCACTCGAGTCTCCTCGCCTGGAGGAGATAGGGACGTCGAATAGTAAAAAAACCGAGGAAATCGGGAAAATCATAGAAATAATTCCTCATTAAACATTCTGCTTCCTCATCAAACTTGAACAAAATATGGCAGAGTACGTCGATCACGACGACGAGATCATATGAATAAAGTTTGTGCATGACTCCGGATGAAAATATCATGAGAAGAATTGTCGTTCTTTGGGTGCCGAAGAGATCAATTCTCGACGTTTCCATACAGGAGCCGTAGTTCCACCACTGCTTGCGCGTTGAGGTTCCTTAGTATTTGTAGTAGAGCTCTGAGGATTTGTGATTGTCGATGAGGGCCTCCCGGCGAGGCTCTCAACGTCGGGGATATGTCGTGTCTGATGCCTCGAGTCTGTGTATCTTCGCTTTGTGTACTTTTTATTGTCATTTGATGTTGAGATGGAACTTATGCCTTTTGACTGGATCGAAACTGCACTCTCGGGTCTCGCATTGTGCAGCATCCTCTCAATGTCAGCGGTTTTTGACCTAAAGTAACAGTGTAAGTTTAATGTGGGACTCGGAAGTAGCCCTACACCCGGAGAATGTACTTTCTAGACGTAATAAGGAGGGCTGATTACACGCAGGAACATCATGTTTTAAATTACATGAACATTTTTGTAGTCACTCAATCCATTTAATTATCAAAGACTAAGAGTCACATTTGACAAATTTCTAAACTTTTTATGGATTCATTTCTATTTCATATCCACATATAAGAAAATATCGATAAAGTTTTGGGAACAAGGAGGATATAGGCATTACTTCTGGAATAATTTTTTTCTACAGGGAACTCTTACAACAAAAAATATCAAAATGTTTTCATAGGCCGAGTGTGGAAGAATTTTCCATGCGTAGCTTCTAGAATAGTAACAAACTGTTATTCTATTTCTTATCGGGCGTTTCTATCGATATTAGATGTCTATAAAATTCACCGTCAGGCAATGAACATCTTTTCATTTCATTTTTGAAAGCTATTAGGTTACAATTTTAGTTATTATTTGTTTTTTTTTTGTTATTGTTAAATTAGCTTACCTCAAAACAGCTCCACCAATGCTCGTAATGCTAGGTGTATGAAAAGATGTAGCTGATGCTTTTGAAGTTTCTTGACTCATCGACCTGGTGATCTGACGAGCTTCACTGGACGTCGTAAATGATACCTTCTGGAGAACCGCCTGTTGATCTGGTATGTAAGAGACCGCAGTAACAGCACTATCGGGACTCGCTGGGGGAGACGATGCCCAGGAGGGTGGTGAACTTTGTGGTTGATCGCCTGACAGTGTTACTGAGGACCCCACCGCACTGTCACTTCCATGTCGGCCCCCTATTTGAAATTACATTTTTTAAATTAAATGTTTTTTTTTTTCATTCCATCTGTAAGGTATGACTTCATCGACTCACAGGGTAAATGACATAAAATATCGTCATCGCACAGCCGAAAAAAACTTTTCAAGCTCCAAATTCATATTCGTCAGAAAAGTTCCTTTTAGCCCAGTGACGAACAGTATTATTTTTAATGACATTCATGGATCATATTGAAATCCATGATCTGAATAAAAGTGGCACACTTAATTCATTCACCTTCACTGCATCCAGATATGGAATGCTGTCTCTGTCTTCGTGGGGGTGCTGATAGCTGTTTTGGTTGCTCCTCAATATAGGGGATGTCAGGATCATCTAAGTTCAGAGTGAAAGCACCGGACATTGGTATTGTGAGGGAAGCAGTTATGACCATAGGGGAGGATCTTCTTCTTGGGTATAGAGGATCTTCACTCGAGCCACTGTCTATGCTGCTGCTCCTTCCTTCTTCCTTTCGTCTTGTTCCTGGTTTCTTCGGGCGTCTCGGCTTCGGCCCAATCGCACCACCTACCCCTGCCATCTGGTGTAGGCATTGCTCTCTCGACCAAATTTTCTTTGCTGTTTGCACTGGAGGCATTATTGTTTCTTCTACGAAGAATGTTTCGGCCTCACTGCAAGGATCAACTTCCTCCGAACATTGTCTGAAAATCGAGATGAGTTTGTTTTAATTGATTATATTCTATGGTACAATTATTTTATTGCATTTTCATGAGAGAAGCTTACTCTTCAGCACGGCGAGACAGCGCAATGTCGAGGTCTGCTGGGTTAGTGTCCATCATATGCAAGTATAGCTCATCGAGAAGTGCAGCTGGAACAGTGAAGAGGCACGAGGAGTTTTCCAATAAGGCACGCATCACATTTATCACGTCTGTCCTCTCTTCTGCTCTCTCTGCTGATACTTCAGATCGAGCGTGGCCGGGTTTAATACAGTGGAGTATATTTGGGGCAAAAACCTTAACAGAGAGAGATTACTATTCAATTTGATCCAACTATATAACCTTGAAACGATCAAATTTGGTTGCCCTGAGAGTGGGAATTGAACTCGAGAATGAAAAATTGCTCAGTTATAAAGAAGTGAAAATTTGATCATTTATTTGAGATATCCGTTAAAAAACTCAATATTATTTTCTATGTATAACAGGTGCTTATTATATACCCCGGTGATACTTGAAAGTCTGCAGGTCATAAGGATAGCCATCGAGCGACTCTTGACATTCATGACATGTATGTACATGATATGGGTACATAACAAACAGGGGTTCGAGCCTATCCAACAGAAGATATGTGACCGTTACTTTTTGCTTCATTGGTTCCTTTCGTTTTTTTATTTCTGCCAATTCGGTTGGTAGTAAGCTTCCGAAGGGATCCGTCACAATTCTCTATCCTTGTGACAGATATACATAATCGTAACCACATGGGTGTCTGCAGGAAAGTATTTAACCATTTAAAGAGAGACTACTATGAGTTTTAAAAGTTTCGGACTATTTGAATGCGATTTCTCATACATTGAAGATTGATTATATATGTTCAAAAACAAATAATTAGGGCAATAAAATTAATTGTTCATCGTTCCTTTGCCACGCACTCGTTTAAAATGTTTAAAATAATCCAGGGCCTCCAAGTTTTAGCTACAGAGGTTTCTTCTCCTTAATTTTTTTTGGAAAAATGTATACAATAACAATTACGAAACGGTTTTTTTAAAATTCAACGTCTACACCGCTAATTTCGTTATTTTGTAAATAAAAAATTGTACCATTCATGTACAATAGCACGAAATGGTTTCGCAAAAGATTAAGAATATATTTCAAATATTTTAAGTATAATTTTTCTGCCTATTTTACATGAATGGCGCAAATTTTTATGTTAAAGGAAACGACCTTAGTTGTGTAGAAGTCGAATATCAAAAAACTTTTGGTAATTATTATTGCACACATTTTTTCAAAAAATTAAAAAAAAAGAAACCTTTGTAGCTCAAAAATTGGAGGCCCTGGCTTATTTTTAACATTTTAAACGAGTGCGGGGCAAATGAGCAATAAACCATTAATTTTATTGCACTAATTATTCATTCTCAAATATATATAATCGATCTTCAATGTATGAGAGTCTCCCCTTAATGAAAAATAGATTTATACAAACGGTTAACTATCTCCGAAACTGGGGGGCCGGTTGCACCTATCTAAAATATCAACCTTCGTTAGTGTAAGAGCTATAACGATACTAAAGTTCCACTTGATATCTTCATTTTTTTCTCAACTTATTGTGCGTACAAGGTTTTCCATCAAAAAAAGGAAAAACGGCAATATTTCAAAACTTTGTACTGAAGAGTATATTTATTTTGATTGATCTAGATAAAGGTTATCGAAACGAGTATTTTGAGAAAAGAAAAATCGAAATGGGTGCAGTAGTTTTTGAGATATCCTCTATTAAGGAATAGGTGAAACATTTTTGGCCAGCAATCTATTTCGCGAAGCATACACTAGACTTAGGAATATTTCAACTTTCTCTTATATATGAAAATGTCTTTCATAAGATTTTTTTTATCAGTAATAATACCTCGAGAACTTCAAAATGATCGGGTATTTCCCGATAGCTTCGTTGCAAACAAACGAGAGTGTCGAGTTTTGTAGGTTTAAATATTCCGAGCGCGAAGAGCGAGGGATTGTCCTACAAAACTTGACACGATCGTTTGTTTGCAGGGAAGGTTGAGGGAAATACCCGATGTATTTTTAAGCTCGAGAGGTATTTGGAGGAGTATTTCCTCCATCGTAATTTCGGTCACTGGAGGGCAGCATTTGATGTCAATGTGGTAAAACCTACACTTTCGCATTTCAATTGTTTTGTTTATTCTCCCTTAACAACGTGCCGTGGTTTTACCAAATTTTACCGATATAAAACCGTGTAGGTTATACCACGTGACATCAAATGCGGCCCTCCTATTGGCCGAGATTCCGATGAGGGAAATGGTCATTAAAAAATTTTCTTCAATAGAAAAGAAAATTGAAAAATATATTTATTGATGTTTTTTTGTTATTATAAAGACAGATATTCCAAGTGAAATAAATGAGGGCAAAACCCTCACCTAATTCTACATGCGCGATATTTTTTTCTCGAAATATATTCATCTCAAAATGACCACTGATTTTTTTGAAGATTTTTTGGTGCATGATCTCAGCAGTTATGATTTTTGTCCTTATTTTCGTTTGAATTGACATAACTCACTCAAAAATGAAGCGATTGGGATTTTTTTTTAAAACATGTGTTTTTAATCGAGTTTTTCATTCCACAATACGAATATTTTTTATATGCCCCATTACATGCAAAATTTGGAACAAAATCAACTAAAATTGATGGTTTTTCAAGTTCGACCCGATTTAAAATTCTCCAAAAAATTAAGTACATTTGAAATGATGAAAAACGAGGTAATACCAAAGGGGAAAATGAGCCTCCAATTATATATCATATAATAATAATAATTATATATCATATTTTCGGTCATTTTATAAATAAAAATTCATTATTTTCAGTTCTAATATATTTTCAAATTTCCGCGCGAAAAAATTCTATAAACTCAGTTGTTTTCTCGCTCATCAGATGGCGCTTACTACGGCTATGTCCAAAGCGAATGACCCTAAATATTCGCAAGTAGCGTGTTTGTAAATTATTCTGTGATTTTGGCGTTCACGTTGACATTGTCGTTTTCACAGTAGTGCTTTGAAATCGATCAATAGTTGTGATATCTTGAAAAGGTTAAAATAAAGCTACAGTATGGCTCCGCGGAAGCTTTTCGTTGATCGATGTTGCAATCCATTTGGATATATAAATCTTAAAGAACCAAAGACTTACGAAAAATCACAGAAACAGTTCAGAGAAGATGGAGGTTAGCAATCGGTGCTAAAGTATGCAATCAATGTCGCAAAAATTTTGCTAACGATAGTGACCCTACTTTTCAGGCATCAACAGACCAACTGAGTGAAGTATCTGACGCGACCAAGGAATCTAACAATATTTTTACTGCAGAACAAGATCCTATGGAGTTGAACAATGTTACTGATCCCAAATTTATGGATTCATAGCCTTCAGATGGAAGCCACTTGACTAAGCTCACTGAACTTTTTCCTCATGGGAATGCCATTTCATTTCTTTGCAACACTTCAGAGTTGGGAACTGATGTTCGATTGCCAGTCATTAACCAATCGTTACGGCTACTGAATGAGTCTCATTTACCTCAAACAACTGAAGTAACCAATCGATAGATAAAAAATTTGAAAAAATCTCAATTAATTTGAAGCAACAGTTGACAGGCTCTTGCTTCAATCTTTTTGAAACTCACAGTGATATAATTGATTTTCAAATGATGATGAATAGTTAAAAGAACAAATTTCATGAGGAAGACACCCTTAAATCACAAAAATTTCAATGTCTGACTCTATTACCTTTACATTGGAGCGTAAAAAGAGTTTCTGAAGCATTGGTGAAAGTGAAAGGGATTCTATCAAGCCCGGCCTCTAGACTAGGTTGGTTATGTTATTCAATGGACCTTAATTTAATGTTTCACTTTAAATTTCTCTCGTGTTTTTCTGTCATTTCCTAGGGCACAAATTACCTGAGGAAATCACGAGTAAAGTATTGGGCTTTTACAACGATGACACATTCAGCAGTCTTATGCTAGGGAAAAAAGATTGCTTATCTACAAAAACTAGCGATGGTCTCAAAATCTACCATCAAAAACGGTTAATTCTTTGCAATTTGAAAGAGTTATTCCAACTCTTTCAAGATCACAATCTAAATGATAAAATTGGGCTTTCATCATTCGCAATGTTACGTCCGAAGCATTGTGTTCTTGCCGGTTCAAGTGGAACACATACGGTGTGGGTTTGCGCAAAGTAGTGTAGTAATACGGGTTCTGGGGCAACGTTTTTGGCGTCGACCTGGTCGTTGGGGCCCAGTAGGGGGGTCAGATGAAAGTGGGTGGGTGGGTGGTTGATTAATTCGCGGGGTCGCGGCTCAATTCGCGGTTTGATTCGCGGGGTCGCGGTTTAATTCGCGGTTTGATTCGCGGTTTGATTAATGAATTCGCGATTTTTTCCCTCGAAGTCACGAAAGGGTTAATTAATTCGCGGTTTGATTCGCGGTTTGATTAATGAATTCGAGGTTTTTCCCTCGAAGTGATGAAAGGGTTAATTAATTCACGGTTTAATTCGCGGTTTGATTAATTAATTCGCGATTTTTTCCGTCGAAGTGATGAAAGGGTTAAGTAATTCGCGCGGTAGCGGTTTAATTCGCGGTTTAATTCGCATGGTTGCAGTTTAATTCGCGGTTTAATTAATTAATTCGTGATTTTTTCCGTCGAAGTGATGAAAGGGTTATTTAATTCGTTGGTTAATCAATTTAATTCGCGGTTTTCCGTTACAAAGGACCTTCTCGATGGAACTAGTCAATCCACCCCGCGAGGGGGTGAGTGAAGGGGTTAATTATTCCGCAACTGTAGAAATCATAGAAGGGGCTCCTCTTCTTCAAACATTGACACCTGGCTCCACTTGACAGGTCTGAACTTGAGTTTTCCGGTACTTTCTCGTTTGCCGCCCCCCTTCGTATGAAATTGTTGTTGATAACGATATCAATATATAAATATTTATTTTAAAAAGAAGGGGAGAGAGTATGTATATATGCAAAGAATTTTTGCCTGAACTTAAGATTATCAGTCCTTTGATGATTACCGCTCGTAGAAACAAACGTTATTAATAATAATGTAAAAAATTATTTATTGAAAAAAGAAAGGTTTAAGAGTGGGGGATTTATGTATATAAACGAAAAAATTCCCGCACATATCATCAGTTCATCTTGTCACTCTCCATGAAGGATAGCTTCAAACGACGGGAATTAAAGAAACGTTTAGACCTTCTCTTGAAAAACATTCAAAAAGTGAAACAAGTTATACAGTACCGAAGTGACA